TTTTGCCGCGCAATTGCCAGATACTACTCAGTAACCACAATAAGCAACACAAAAACCAACCTTTTATTTTTCCAAGACAATGTCCTGCGGAGACGCAAAGCTCAACCACCCGGCGCCCGACTTCAATGAGACGGCGCTGATGCCCAACGGCACCTTCAAGAAGGTGGCTCTCACCTCCTACAAGGGCAAGTGGCTGGTGCTCTTCTTCTACCCGATGGACTTCACCTTCGTCTGCCCCACAGAGATCTGCCAATTCTCGGACCGTGTGAAGGAGTTCTCTGACATTGGCTGCGAGGTGCTTGCCTGCTCCATGGACAGCGAGTACTCCCATCTGGCCTGGACAAGCATTGAGCGCAAGCGTGGCGGACTTGGCCAGATGAACATCCCCATTCTTGCCGACAAGACCAAGTGCATCATGAAGTCGTATGGTGTGCTGAAGGAGGAGGATGGCGTGGCGTACCGTGGCCTTTTCATCATCGACCCGAAGCAGAACCTGCGGCAGATCACCGTCAACGACCTCCCCGTTGGCCGCGACGTGGACGAGGCCCTTCGCCTTGTGAAGGCGTTCCAGTTCGTGGAGAAGCATGGCGAGGTGTGCCCCGCCAACTGGAAGCCCGGTGACAAGACGATGAAGCCGGATCCCGAAAAGTCCAAGGAGTACTTTGGTGCTGTCGCGTAGCGTGGCGGTTCACAGTCTCCATTGTGACACTGGTTTTTTTTTGTCGTTGTTTTTGTTACTTTTATTTTGCTACGTTTTTTTCTTTTGTTATTTTATTTTTTTTTTTTTTTTTAAAGGCATATTTTTCAATTTCGCGACAACACGCTGGTTGGGAGCTCTTTCTCTTCATCTCCCACCTGCAGTGTGGTGGGCGGGGGTGGGTGCGGGAGAAGTAGTTATGGGAAAGGAGGGGGCGTGAGTGTGTGCTTTGCAGGGAAGAGGCTGAATTTGCGAAGAAGCATGACGCATTGTTTTTCTGCGCTTCTCCCAAGGCATGAGGCATCTTTTCCACCTGCCACTTTTACCCCTTCTTCCCGAATCCGTGGTGCATGCATCCAGACCGTCATAAAAAAAGCGTTGTTTACAAAAAGAAAAAGAGGAAGAGAGTAGAGAGAGCGAGGGAGGAGGACTGATGGAATCTCAGAGGTACTTTATTTTGTTATTTTCGTTATGGGATTTCTTTTTTATGATCGAAGGCGGAAGAGGGGCGTGAGTGTATGTTTCTTACTGGTGATGCCCCCTCTATGTGTGCTGACTTTTATCTTTTTTTGTTTTTCTTTTGTTGTTGTTGCCTCTTTCTGTTCTTCTTGGCGCTAGTTGCTTTTGTGTTGTTGGCCGCGCGGAATATTCCCATTTCTGGTCCGTGTTTTTCCCGTGTGCAAGGCGCGAAGGCTGGCTATGTCATTAATGGGCATATGGGCGCTTTTAGCATGAGGATGCCCTTCCAGTATTCATCCGTTCATTTGCTCGGGAGTATATTTGTGCTCTGCCTGGCCGCATTTACTGATTGCCTCTTGCGTGAAATGGCGACACATGTATGTGAGTCTGCGTACTGCGAGGGGATGAGCTGGTGCACCGCCATTTGGGTGATAACTG